GAGAGAGAGAGAGGTTCATGTGCAATTTGATGGCCATGTTTTCCTACTCCAACCGCTCATTCATTTCAGTCATAAATGTTACTTCTGGTTTTGGTTCCTCCCCTCTTAACTATGTGGTGAATCAGAACTACCCCATTTTCCTCTTTCATCGTCCATATAATGAAGAACCACCAGCAATCCATGGCCACCCCACCCCTGATTGCTTCTAGGGTTTCCGAGAGACAGAGAGAATACTGTCTATGAAGATGGGTCTCTTACTGAAGATCACTGTGTGCCTCATCTTACTTGCGGGATTCTCAAAAGGTTTGATCTTTTCCCTTCTCTCTCTCTAGCTACCCATGTGCATTGCCCCTCTCTCTCTGGACTAACTTTCACTTCCATTGCAGGCTACGACGCGAAGTATCGATTTGTGAAGGAATCAAGCACCATTGCGAGACACCCGAATGCGAGATACGACTACATAATCGTTGGAGGCGGCACAGCAGGGTGCCCACTTGCAGCCACTCTCTCACAAAACTACAGTGTCTTACTTCTAGAGAGAGGAGGCTCCCCTTATGGCAACATGAACATTTCTCTGCTCCAGAACTTCCACATCTCACTAATGGACGCCTCTCCGGATTCACCAACGCAGCCATTTGTCTCGACAGATGGAGTCATAAATGCCAGAGCGAAAGTTTTGGGGGGAGGGACCTGCATCAATGCTGGTTTTTACACCAGAGCTAGCCCTGAGTATGTGAGAAAAAATGGGTGGGATGGGAAGCTTGTTAATGAGAGTTATCCATGGATTGAGAAGCAAATTGTGCAGAAGCCAAGGGTGAAGCCATGGCAGGCTGCTCTGAGAGATGGGTTGTTGGATGCAGGGGTTCATCCCTTTAATGGCTACACATATGATCATATTTATGGGACTAAGGTTGGGGGATCAATATTTGATGAGAGGGGGTTCAGGCACACTGCTGCTGATCTTTTGCAGAGAGCTGATGCTTCTAATCTCAAGGTCTTGTTGCATGCCACTGTGAAGAGGGTTGTCTTTAGGAATAGGGCTAGAGGTGCCTCTCTCCCTCTCTCTTTCTCTCTCTCATATTGATAATTGAGTGATTTACATAAGGGTCCAAAATTCCTTTTTAAAATACAAAAAACTCTATTTATAGTTGAAAATTACAAAGAAGGTAAGTCCACCCAACATTTTTATTTGTCCAAAATTGTATTATTATTATTTTTCCCGTAGGGAACTACCTTAGAGCTTGGGGCGCTACTAAAGAAAAAACTAAAAAAAAATTAAAAAATACAATTCAGACCGAGGATTACATCCTCTGAAAGATAATTTTGAAAAAAAAAAAACAAAAACAAGTTGATTGATCTTCTATATAATTTTTACCTATAAATATTTGTGTATTTTAAAATAAATTTTAAGATCCGTATGTAAATCACTCCCGATAATTTACGCTCACTTTTCTCATTAACTCTCTTCATTCTCTCTCTCTCTCTCTCGCATAATCTCATGAAGACATAATGCGACAGTTCATTTTGAAGCGTTTTTTGCTTTTAGATTGAAAGTACATAAAGAATATAAATTTGACATTAATATACTGCCAAAACTTTATGAAAAGGGCCCCGGTCGGCCAAAGTACATGGCGGACCGAAGGGCGCATTTCTCGTTATGCTTATAATATGTCTCCTTGTGTTTTTCCTGGTCACACATCCCAACCAATATTTAGGCGAGGGGCCCATCTCTCTTATTTCCATTGGTCAGAAAGTCCTACCCGCAAAATAATTAAATATGGTCAACTATCTCCCTGTCCAACCAAAAATGATCTACTCATTTTCTTAAAATGTGAGAATGGTCCTTAGCCTCTTAAATACTTCATATCACATAGTCCCTTGTTGATTATATTTTTTTCTTAAGAGACAAAGAAATTTAGGCAATGTTTATTTGGGCAATGTTAAAGTTTGGTAGATAGAATTGTTTGTTTTCCTTTTTGGGTGAGGTTTGTATAAGGTTGCCTCCTTATAGTGTACAAGTAAGGTGCATATCTAAAATTCGTTTAGAGATGTTTTGGTGTCGGGAACTTTATTTGGACATCTATTTTCATCCTTGGTTAAGAAATTTAAAATCGTAAAAATGATAGAGTAAATCAAGAAACATTTGAAAATTTTGAAAATAGATCGTCCGGATAATTTGTTGCAAAATGTACTATTTTTTGGACTTGAATTCATGTTCGTGCACCTGAAGGATGAGATGATCAATTAGAAGGTTCTACAAGCCCGGAACACTCTCTTATGTTTGATTTTCAAGATGCACATTACTTCAATAATATAAGATTGCAACGTTATAATAAATTTTTTTATTTTTGTTTTCTAACAAAGTGGTAGTTATTGTAGCAACACATAAACTTTCTCAGCCTTGAAGAACTATGCATCTTTGTGAGAACCGTAGCTGGATACCCATTAAGCATGAAGGAAAAAATGTTTGACAGGGCTGCAGGCCTATCAAACTAAATAAATCATCTCATAACTCATTCAAAATTGCTAGTCAGGCATTGAAAAACCTTTACATCCATCATCTCAACTAGAATATTATGGTTGAGTAATAAAATTTTGAATGAGTAATGAGGTTAGAAAAACCTTTACATCCATCATCTCAAATAGAATATTATGGTTGAGTAATAAAATTTTGAATGAGTAATGAGGTTAGATAATGGATGTAAAGGCTATTATTACTTATGGATGAGCAACTTTGTTATCTAGACCATCTTTTTTGCTCTAAAAATAGGTGTTCACAAATTTGCAAGATCCGTACTATTTTTTTAGTTTCAAAATTTTTGCCTTTGTTAGAAATTGATTCGAGTCAGCATAGGGATTTTCGTCGCCGAAAGTACTTTCCTGATGAGGATTTGAGGTGAAGCTTTATTTTGTTTTCATAAAGCCTAGGCCTTCTAGAAACCTCATCCAAGTATGAAAACACTTTTCCAAGCTAATGAAAAAACGGCCCCAATGATTAAACTTTCCCGGACCCCGGGAAAGCTCTTCCACAAGAAACAAAGATGCCCCAAACTTGGGCATACATGACACCTAATTCTTTTTCCTCAACTCTCACCTATTTCTTTTTACTCAACTCTGATGAAGTCTACAATTTATGCAGGTGAGAAGCCTGCGGCAGTGGGAGTCGAATTCATCGACGAAAAAGGGGTGGACCGCAAGGTATTTGTAGCCGAGGACTCCGGAGAGGTCATAGTATCAGCAGGGGCAATAGGAAGCCCCCACTTGCTTTTGCTTAGTGGTATAGGCCCAAGACATGAGTTGAAGAGATGGAGAATTCCTGAAGTCCTGGATCAAGATAATGTGGGGGAGGGGATGGCAGATAACCCCATGAATTCAGTTTATATACCCACAAAGAGGATGGTGGAGCATTCTCTGATACAAACTGTGGGGATCACAAAGGTGGGTTCATTCATTGAGGCCTCTAGTGGCTTTGGCCAGTCTTCTGATAGCATCAAGTGCCACCATGGTATCCTGTCAGCAGAGGTGAGTGCCCTAATTTTTCCTCTCCTTTGGAATTCCATTTTCATAGATTGAAGGGCTTTGGAATTTTGCCTCAAGGTTAAGTCCTTCAATCTAGGTTAGCATGTGAAACTAAAAAACTTCCAGAATTTATTGAAGGGTAGGGGTAGCAACAAGCCGGGTCCGACTGGATCCGGACCTGGACACGAATAGTGTTCAAGTCTAGGTTTTGGACCTAGACCCGATCCGTCGGGTCCAAATATTGGACCCATATCCGGACCCAAGGACGGGTCTATCTGTTCGGTCCCGAGTCTGGTAAGATCCATTGCCAGCCATAGCTATTCTCCACTTCAATTCCAAACATTGGCCACTAAATATGAGCGTGTACAGTATAGTCCTGCAAAAAATATGAAATCTTTTGATAAAAGTAATTACCTTTGCAATGTAAGCAGAGGGACCTCACTTGTTTAACATTTACCTCAAACCCACGTGGTTCATAATGAGGACCTGGTTAGGGTCATGCCTCTTGTTTAACTTAAACACAGTTTTAGCAGCGGAGGACATATGTAAGTGTGGTCTCTGGAAAATTCTTTTTGACTTAAACTTTCAGTAATCTCCACTATTATCTTCTATAAAACATGGGTTTTGCATTGTCTTGTGCGCTGAAAAAGTATGGATCTACAACAGAAAAAGTTTAAATTGTTTCTATCTCTAACTATAACATTTTAAACTACAAAAGGGCTCCATCAAGCATATCTATTACTGTATGGAAATATCGAAAATGGACTGTCCGGATAATTTGTTGCAAAATGGACCATTTTTATAACTTGAAAACTCTTTTCTTCTCCAAATCTATACATCTCTGCGAGATGTATAGATTTTAGAGGTGCACCTTAATTTTACATTTTAGAAAGATTTTAGAGGTGCACCTTAATTTTACATTTTAAGGTGTCAATTTTATATAAACTTTTTCTTTTACCCAAGTTAAATGAAACTTTTAAAAGGCAACTTTCTTGTTAATTAGGATAATTAGAAATCTTTGGTTTGTAGATCTTACTTTTAGAAATAAGGTTAAAATGTTCTATATTATTAATTTTAGTTGAATGATATAGGTTTAATGTGTCTTTTAAGACAACATTAAAAAGTGGAAGATCCTTACAGCGTAAAATCTACACCGTCTAAATAAAATAGACATGGATCACTAGAACTTTACTTCAGCAAATAATCCAATAAAGTTCAAACTTATACAAACTTTTTCCAACCCGTATTTTGACCCTTCCCCAAAGCAGTTAGAATTAACTAACATTTGATTTTGATTATTCGTATTTCCACGAGCCACAAGCATGGATAAGATTTTGCGCTACTAATAATGGTGTACAAGTTGATGTCCCCTCGTGGGTGTAAAAGGACTTTGACACTTCAATTTGTGTTTTCTTGGGTCGTGTCTCCCACCCAGTTATTGTCTTCTCTTCTTAAATTTAAAAGCTCGCCTTGCCTATTTTAAAGGGAAAAGTTTAAAGGGAAAAGTTTATATAGAGCCTAGGCTCTAAACAATCAAATTAGATCCTGCCTCAAAAATTTCACTGGAAGATGTTGTTTTGATACCTAAATATCTTCAAATTTATCATCTCGATATCAAGATGCGTGGACTTGAGAAAAAAAATATATTTCAAGTTTTGGAACTAGTGCATGTTATAATGCAGGTTCTAAACAATCAAATTAGAGCCCACCTCCAAATAGTGTCGAGAAATGTGGTTTTAATACCGGAAAACTTCGACTAGCCTTAAAATATATTTTTGTTTTTAATGATAAAATTTAAAGCTTCAAAAATAACGTGGATCAAGCAGATCTATGAAAACTTGAATAACTTAAAAATTGACGGTCCAAAAATGCGTCATAAGATGCACTATTTCCAAAACTTAAAATTCATTTTTTTCTCTAGTCCATGCTTCTTGATGTCGAGATGACCGATTTGAAGATAGTTGGGCATCAAAACAACCTTATCTGGTGAAATTTTTGAGGTAGGCTCTAATTTGATTGTTTAGAGCCTAGGCTCTATATAAAGTTTTCCTATTTTTAAAATAACAATGATGATGTTGGGCCAGTTTGAGCCAAGCCCGGGTGGGGCTGAACTCGCTATGCACAAAAGCCTAGTAGCTGATCCGGCCGTTAGGTAGCACCAATGAATTAAAAATGTCAAACCAGATTGGAACTGGTCGATCTAGATCGAGAATCGTCGAGGCAAATTGGTTCCCGCTAAATATCGAGAACATGCCAGTTGAACCCCATGAGACAGCCGATTCTAGTTAGTTCTATGATGGTTCTATCGGAGAACCCCTCGGATGCTCCACTTTTTTATTTTTAAAATTTTTTAATGACCAGTTCGGTAAACCGGATCTGCGATCTATCGAACCGGATTGGAAATACTAATAGCACTATTATGACACCATGGAAACCTAGAAACCCAAGAATTTATTGTACATCTCTTAGGACGACCTGAAGTAACAGAATGGTCTCAAGCTAAATAGTTAGGATGCAAGAGCTCCACAATATGATGTTTTGAATTTTATTCATACCAGAGGCAGGGAACTCCTTATCAATTGAACTACCAAAAAAAACAAAAACAAAAAGGCCTTGCAAGCAAAGCTTGTAATGGAACAAGGCTGTTATAGGGTGAGAAGCACATAGATGTGCAAGGCTGTTATAGGGTGAGAAGCATATAGATGTGAGTTCCTTATGGTAGATAGGGCAGAATAGATCAGAGTTGCTTATGGTGTTTAGGTCCGAGAATCAATACAATATTTGAGCGCGTTCCATTGTATTCCTCACTTCAAGAACACAAAATCCCCCTCCTGTTCATGTCAAAGAGCCCCAAAACTACCTAAGAAAAACTCTTCGTTGTTGGATTGCAGATAGGACAGCTCTCAACTCTCCCTCCTAAGCAGAGGACCAAGGAGGCCATTGAAGCCTTCATCAGGAACAAGCAAGACCTTCCTAGGGAGGTTTTCAAGGGTGGGTTTATACTTGAAAAGGTCGTCGGGCCTCTCTCTAAGGGTCATCTCACGCTCAACAGTACCGACATCCGAGCTAATCCTGTAGTCACCTTCAACTACTTCAGCCATCCTGAGGACCTCAGACGATGCGTTAGTGGCATCCAAATGATATCAAAGATCGCGAGATCGAAGAGCGTGGTTCTGTTGACACAGAATGATGACTACACTATGCAAAAGCTGTTAAACCTAAGTGTGGTGGCTAATGTCAACCTCATTCCTAAGCACCCTAATGATACTAAGTCCCTAGCCCAGTTTTGTAGGGACACAGTGTTAACCATTTGGCACTACCATGGTGGTTGTCAAGTAGGCAAGGTAGTGGACAGTGACTATCGGGTACTTGGCGTGGAGCGCTTGCGCATCATCGATGGCTCTACATTTCTTGCATCTCCAGGGACGAATCCGCAGGCGACTGTCATGATGCTCGGCAGGTTAGGATCAATTACTGTTGTCTTGGAAAAAAACATTATTTGGAATAATATCTAATAATAATAATAACAACAACAAGAACAACAACAACAACAACTCGTTTGGCAATGTAGATCTGATATGCCTTTCAAAATAGTGTCAAAAAGTAATGCATCTTTTAAGATAGTATCAAATCTGCATCGTAAAAATAAAATAAATAGTGTAGATTACTACAACCCTATTTTTATAAGAAAGTTTGCAACCTTACATAAATTTCCTTTCAAAAAATATTTTGAGTTCTTCAATACACAGCTCTAATCATTCTTCAAATTGATGGTCCTTATGCCATTGGACCAAATCATTTACTAGTTTTTTAAAATAAGTGAATTTTTATATGAAAAAATATACAATGAAACCATTTACCTTTGGTATAAGGTGGTCATAATTCATCTTGACCTTTGGATGTGAGATTGAATGGCTGCATTTCTTCCAATGACTAAAAATTAAAAGAAATTTTCTCAAAATTTGTGATACACCTAAGCTATCAGATTTTAGATCAGATGGTTATAACTAATTGTACCTCCTTGTATTAGAGGTAAATGGTCTCATTGTATACAATCCTTTTTTATATTACCCATATTTTTCGAGGTTTCTATAATCCCATTCCAAATTTTTTATTCTTTTATACTCCTAAATTTTCATCTGAGTTAGTTTAGTAGACTTCGCAATTTCTCTTAGCCCATATATCGGATTGTGTTCTGGTGCATTTTTCATTGTTTGCAGATACATGGGGGTGAAGCTTTTGAGAGAAAGGCTAGGAGCAAGAGCAGGAGTTTAGCAGAGTGTGCCCTAATTACCTCTTAGTCGGAAGCTACTAGCTTTTTGTCTTCATAACCTTTTTGCTTCAAGGAAAAAGTAAACAAAAAGAGCGGGACAAGCTTCCGCGTATCATACTATTAGATATATGATTTTTGGAAGGGATAGGCAAGTGTAATCGTGATGATGAGTCCCATCAAGGATATGGAGTGGGTCCTTGAAGGATAGGCAAAGATTCAGTGTAAAAATATCAGTCTAATAAATGTACCTATTTGTTTTCTCATACATTATGGAGAGTTAAGACAGCATGTGATCGTGCTTTTCACACTTCAAAAAAAAAAAATAGATCCTTCAAGTATAGAGAGAAGGAAAAGTGTGCAAAAAGGCTGTTCATTTTTTTTTTTAGTATAATGTGGCCGCAATCATTTTTATCTCTCAGAATTCAAATCTAATGATTATAAATGTGTCATTGACTAGACCCAATGTTGGAAAAAAAAAATTCGAATTTCATGACTCTAAACCATCCAATTTGATATTTAATTGTTAACAGGGATTCTGACCTCCTTCAACTTGGGCTTACCGAATTGACAACCTTCTCAAATAAAACAACTGAGGCCTCCAAGAGTTCTCTCCTTTGTTCACTCTCTTCTCAATTCTAGCTGTCTTGGACTTTGAAGACCCAACCTCACAAGCCCACTCCACCTAGCCACAATGGTTACAGTATTCTAGGCTCTCATATCTCATCTGCCACCATAACAACTAGCACTCGTTCCCTCTTCAACTTGGACTTGCCACAATTAAGCCCATTCTTAAAATTGAGCAACCAATCCTTCTGGACCATAGTCCTAATGTCCAACATAAGAGATACAAATTCTTCACGGACTCGTTCGCCAAGCCCGTCGATTGAAACTTTTTTTAATGCCTCAGAAGCTACCCGAGCCACATTTCCTGGCAAGGACTTACCCGTAAAGTCGTGATTCAAGGCTTCCAAGTGATCACATTAGGCCTTGAAGTATCCTTAACCTACATCCTCCACTAGAGCTGGGCATTTCTACCGCATATGTCAACTTAATCTTCTTCATGGGCATGAACAACCTCAAAATACTGGTCCATGTCCTGTAAGAAATCTTTAACACCTGAAGGCCCCTCACGATGCCCTAGGCTATGGCATTCTCACTATCTAAGAGTCCAGCCCACCTATGGTGCTCCACAAGGCGTTGTAGACATGGGTGATGTCCTCTTACAGGATCATAACTCGCCTTGAAGGAACATAAAAATACTTCGAAGTTGTCGTCTATGAGCCATCCCATACGAGCATTACGAGCTATATTTTTCCTCAATATTGCCTACTAGGATTACGAACCAAGCCTTCAAGAGGGTGAGCTATGCACCAACAACCCCGTACATGAACCTCTCTAGGTCAATGTCCCAAACAAGAGGTTTACACAATAACGAGATGGCCCATAAATTAAGCCATGTAAAAATGGATATGACCCCTATCACCTAGTCTGACACTTGCACTAACTTGTCCCCGACCCTCAATCACTGCTATATGACTCTCTGTTAAGTAGGCTAATAAGGGTCGGGTCAATTTACTCTATGGGACATTACTACCAATGCGTGTCAATTCCAACACGCATATGATGGAGTATGGCTATTATGGTCTCATGACCACCATAGTGTTCATGGTCTCTCTCTTACCTTCTATTTTAAATCTATTTAATTTAATTTATTTATATTATATACTTGTTATAATAGTCTCATTGCAATTAAATCCTTTGACTATCTTTTATGGAAAATTTTATTCTATTTCTTTCTTTTTCTTAACCACACATCTATGATATTCTAACAGTCATATTAAACCAAGCGTTTTTCTTTGGGGTAAGAGAGAAAATGATACAAAAATGAAGGCTTAGCTATTGATATGGGCATAGAGAAATCTTGACCATTTGATGCAAAACATGTCATATGTAGCAAGGGGATAAGCCCCAATGCTTATAAAAATGGCTCACTCACCCATTATAGCATTCAAATAAAAATCTCAGAGTCATTGCCCATCTCTCTAGTAATTCACAAGCTTTACAGCGAAGTTCCGTTTTCCATATCTATCTTTCTCTCTCTCTGTCATTTTCAATCGATTTTTTTTAATTATTTTTCAACACTGGTATCTATATTTTTTTGTTGGGGGTTCTAAACTTACCAAGCACAAATCAACTTGTTTCTCTATCTTATCGGGTTCACCATTGGGGTTACACTATTGGCCTTAACAATACTCTACGGATTTGCGCACCATTGGTAGTTTTTTTTTCCATTCATCTATTCTCTCTCTAAGTCTCTGCTATTCGCTACTAATATCGTCTCCCTCCCATGTAAAAGAAAGCTTATTGGGTCTATACTCCACTCTCTTCCTCTTTTCAACCATATAAGAATTGTTACCTCCTCCGATTGTTTTTTGCACAAACAGGGACTTCATCACCAAAGACATTCCAGACAAATAAGTAACATTTCCTTCTCTGTTCAATTTAGGCAAATTTCTTTTTCCTAGTACGGGAACTCGAGCCTTATTTGGGAGCTAAAAATCATATTTTTTCTTTGCACGACTCTTTTTTTTTTGGGCTGTCACGCCAACCCTTTGCCAAAAAGGGCCAGAACCATCTAAAGCACAACAAGCCCTTATCATTCGAAATTCTTTTGTGGCCATCATCTGCTGCTCCACTTGATGAGATCTGCGACCCATCATCGACTAAAAGGGTGCTGGTATCATCATTTAAAAAATCAGTAAATCGTCCATTGAGAAAGTGGTCAGTTGATTTAAACCTTGTATTTTGTTGATATTCCTATTTTTCTTTGATAGCATGGCTGGTAGACTGGTGATGAGTGTACGATTTAAAACTGAAAAACTTAATGGGTCAAACTTCAATATGTGGAAAAAAAAATGAACTATATATTGATTAGTAGAAGATTGACTATATTTTGACTTCTACTAAACCTGAATTTGATTTAAACCCCTCTGGTCATAGTAGAACAGAACTTGCGAAATGGGAAAGGGATGACAAATTAGCAAAACCAACATTACTTACTTTTATAGAGGAGGATTTAATAAGAGTTTTTAATATTATGAAACATCCAAATTAATGATGCAATCTTGATTGAAAAATATAGATCTGCATCTGAAATCCATATTCAACTTTTGCTTGAGAAATACAATTTATGTAATATGAGGAAAAATAAACATGTGGTAGAGCATGTTAACAAAATGTTTGTTCCTGCTAAAGACCTTGCTGCGACAGGAAACATCATTTCCAATCATATGCAAGTGTCAACGGTATTGAATAATCTCCCACAGTCATGGGAACCTATAGTCATTGCTCTTAATCACTCATCCCAAGAAATTATCATGCTGAACTTAGCCATAGACATGAGTACAGAGGAAGAAATAAGAAATAAAAAGGGAAAGGCAGACTTGCACTTTTCCCAAAATTCCTCTAAAGTGACTACCCTAGATGTTACAACAATCAAAATAAGAAGAAGTGATTTAAAGGAAAGGATAAGGTTTTCAAACCACACTGAGGAAATACCTACAATAACCCGCCAAAATGTTACAACTGCGGAGAGATATGGCATATTAAACCTAAATATCCAAATAAAATTATTTCCAATAATGACTACCGCAGGAACAATGGACAAAGGAGCAATCACAAGAATAACAATAAATTCAACTTAGTTTGTGTGGTCTCTGAATCTATAGGGACTGATCATGATATGAGAGAATAGTGGGTGGACTCTACATTGACCATACATGTTTCAAAAACTAATTATGGTTTTGTTGATTTGAAGGAAGTCTAAAGCGGTGACTAGCGGATACACATGAGAACTGACACCTTTTGTGATGTGCTAGGTGCTGGCACATACAAGCTAGAGTTGCGTGGAAATGTAAATTTCCTCCTCACTAATACTTTGTATGCGCCTAATATGAGGCGCAACCTTATTTTTGTCCCTAGGTTAGATGAAAAGGGTTATAAGATCTGAGAAGGTATCTATTGGGCAACATGGTCGAGTTTGTATTTGGGAGAGAGAGAGTTGAAAATTTGTGTGGTCTAAATGTTCTTATATCAATGTGGCTAAAAATGATGCATGTAAATGGCACTTAAGATTATGACATATTAATAAAAATAAAATGCAAAAATTAGTAAAGAGATAATTAATACCAAATCTTAAAGAAATTGAGTTCCAAACTTGTGAACTATGCCTATCAAGAAAAGTGTCTAGCAAACCATTCCCTAAAAGACAAAAATCACAACAATTACTTAACATAATCATCCACTAAGATATATGTGGACCATTGAATGTTAAAACACATAGAGGTATGGAATATTTTATAACCTTCATAGATGATTACTCTAGGTATGAATATATATACCTAATTAGTAAAAAATATGATGCTTTAAAATATTTAAAGAATATAAGACAAAAGTGGAAAATCAATTAGGAAGACATTTAAAAATTTTAAGGACCGATATGGGAGGAGAATACACCTCATAATTATTTAACGAATTTTATGGAGATTATAGTATAATGCATCAAACGACCTTACTATAGGACTTTAATGGAAATGGTTAAATCTATGATGGGTCATGCCAACCTAGCTCAAAATTTGTGGGGGGAAGCCATTAGTACAACTGTGTTCATTTTAAATAGAGTGTCCACCAAGTCTATCCCCTTATGAATTTTGGATATGAAGAAAACCAGACCTAAGTATATTAAAAATTTACGGATTACCTGCACATGTGCTTATCCAACATCACCAAATAGACAAACTCCACAGTAAAACAAATAAATATTTATTTGTAAGTTATTGTGATAACTCTAAGGGATACAGGTCTATGATCATGACAATAGGAGTTTAATTGAGAGTAGGGATGCCCATTTTCTAGAAAATCTAAATAACAAAAAGAATAAAAATAAAGAGGTTGACTTATTTGAAGAAGAAAACAATAAAGATCAAGGCCATCCCATGGATCTTATACCAACAAACGATAGATAAACCTAATTGAGTCCCCTAACCTAGCTAGAAATCAAAGGTCTAGATCTCTTCCTTTATTCTTAAATGAGGATGAGATACATGAACCATGTACTTATAGTAAAATCATCAATTCACCTAAATCATCTGAATGGGTCAATGTTATGGATGATGAAAATTAACTCTATTCAAAGAAATCAAGTATGTGAACTTATAGACCTTCCCAAATATAGGAAGGTTGTAGGATGTAAATGGATTCTTAAAAAGAAATTTAAAGATGATGAAACCATTGAATAATATAAGGCTAGATTAGTAGCCAAAAGATTTACTAAAAAAAA